GGTCAGGCGTTCGAGACCCTTTAGCTATAATTGTATATTTATTTATTTTTTTAACTGTTAAGGAAAAATGGGAAAATTCAAGGTTAGGTCCCTGAACTTCCCAGAGTTTCAAAATCGAGCTGCAAGTTTCTAAAACTTGCAATTTAGTCCCTTAATTTTACTTAAATTAGTTTCAAATTTTAATTTTAATTTTATCTAAAAGTGAAGTTATTACATAAGATGTAACATTTTTAGTTTTCTAAACCTTGTTGATAATATGCATGACATTTAAACTTGTTTTCCAATGTTTTATTCCAATAAATATGCATTGTCGAATGGGAAATTGTCGATAAGTTGTTTATCATTTATATTTGTCTGGTGCGATAGTAAGGGGTTCATAGTGTTGCTTCTGTTAACCTGTACAATTCCATTTTATTTCCTATGTGTAACAATTTCATGATAAAACGCTTAGCATCGTTTAAGTGTTCAAATTTTTTACATGGAAAATTAGGTTTAGTTATTCATTTTTTTCAAGTTAAAAGTGTTGTTGAGATGTGCTTTTAAAAGAAGCGTTTCAAAAGAAGTAGTTTTAGAAAGAGCTTTAATTTTTTTAACAAATTGTTATGTTACTTTAAATTGTTTGACATTGTTTACAAAGTATATTAAGAAAAATATAAATTTAGAAAATAGAATTGACGTTAGAAAGTGAGAAAATAAGTTACCTTAAATTATTTTTCTAAGTATGTATATATATATATGATAAAGTAAGAGACAAAAATACGAAAACAATTCTTTCAACATTTCTAAAAGAATTTTTGGGAGGTATTTTAATTTCAAAAGTTATCAGTTAACCTTGTTCTTTACTTCATTTAATACCAAATGTAGAAATATCTTTAATTTTTTTTTAAAAACATAGAGAAATATTAGTTTACTTGTATATCATTTTATATATTATCCTTTAAAGATTATAAATATGGATAAATATTTACATTGCATGTAAAATTAAGTTTATAATTATTAGCAGTCTTAGCTCAGCTGGCAGAGTGCATGACTTATAACCATGTGGTCATGGGTTCGATTCCCACAGACGAAGAATGTTGAAGGTTTATCCATTGTTATAATAGATATGTATAATTGTTTAGGTTTATATTGTCTTAAAATAGTTCAGATCTAAAATTTTTAGTTTTCTAAATCTTGTTGGTAGTGTGCATGGCATTTAAACTTGTTGTCTAAGATTTTATTGCAATAGATATGCGTTGTCAAAAGGGCAATTGCCAATAATTTGTTTATCTTTTATATTTCTCTGGTGCGATAGTAAGGGGTTCATAGTGTTGCTTCTGTTAACCTGTACAATTCCATTTTATTTCATGTGTGTAACGGTTACATGTTGCAAAGCTTAGCATATTTTAAGTTTCCAATTTTTTCATAGATATGTATAATTGTTTAGGTTTATATTGTCTTAAAATAGTTCAGATCTAAAATTTTTAGTTTTCTAAATCTTGTTGGTAGTGTGCATGGCATTTAAACTTGTTGTCTAATATTTTATTGCAATAGATATGTGTTGTCAAAAGGGTAATTGCCAATAAATTGTTTATCTTTTATATTTCTCTGGTGTGATAGTAAGGGGTTCATAGTGTTGCTTCTGTTAACCTGTACAATTCCATTTTATTTCCTGTGTGTAACGGTTACATGTTGCAAAGCTTAGCATATTTTAAGTTTCCAATTTTTTCATGGAAAATTAGGTTTATTTATTCATTGTTTTTCAAGTTAAAAGTGTTGTAGAGATGGGCCTTTGAAAGAAGTGCTTCAAAAGAAGTAGTTTTAGAAAGAGCATTAAAAAAAATTTCTAACAAATTGTTATATTACTTTAAATCGTTTGACCTTTTTTACAAAGTATATTATGAGAAATATAAATTTAGAAAATAGAATGGATGTTATAAACTAAGAAAATAAGTTACATTAAATTATTTTCTGAGTGTCTATATATATATATATCATAAAGTAAGAGGCTAAAATATGAAAACAATTCTTTCAATATTTTTTAAAGAAATTTTGGAAGGTATTTTTTATTCCAAAAGTTATCCGTTAACCTTGTTCTTTACTTCATTTAATTCCAAACATACAATTAGCATTAATTTTTTTGAAAAACATAGAGAAATATGAATAAATATTTATGATACGTTTAAAATCGAGTTTTTAATTGTTAGTTGTCTTAGCTCAGCTAGTATAGCGCATGGCTTTTAACCATGTGGTCGTGGATTCGATTTTCACAGACTACAAAGGTTGAAGGTGTAACCATTGTTATAATAGATATGTATGATTGTTTAGGTTTATATTGTCTTAAAATAGTTAAGATGTAAAAAATTTATTTTTGTAATCCTTGTTGGTAATGTGCATGAAATTTAAACTTATTGTCTAAGATTCTATTCCAATAGATATGTGTTTTCAAAAGGGGAATTTTTTATAATTTGTTTATATTTTATATTTATCTGGTTCGATAGGAAGGGGTTCATACTGTTAC